GCCGTTTTAAGTAAGGTCTAAAACATGTTTTGAAATTTAAATTTCAATAAACTAATATTCACAAATTAGTGTATTAAATTATATACATTGAATTATAAGTGAATATTATCTTATTAATATCTAAAAAAGTGGTCATTAGACTAAGAAAGTAAAATGTTTATTCATTTTAAATGCTTTCTATTCATTGTTTTAAATAGTTATATACTGTAAAATACAAAATTATTAAACACATTTTTGTGAATTTGTGAAAATGTGAAAGAAATAACTTACTAAACAGTTATTAGTTATTTTGATAAGCTAAATTTATTATTATTAATTTATTTTGCCTCACTTTATAACGGCATGCCGGTAGGGTATTATAGAGCCATTTTTGTAAAAATGATCAGCCTCATTTATAACGGCATGCCAGTGGATGTGCGGGAATACGGTAAAATTTAGATATTTATGGACAGGTTTTATAGTATATTTATACCGAATGAAACATAAAATGTAATAAATTTAAACAATGCGAAATTTTAATATAATATTTAATTTAACTAAAAATATCGTGAATGTTAATGTAATGTAAGTTTACTTTTTATAACAAAAGATAAACTTGATCAATAATTGTATAATCAACTCTAATTTTCAGGATTAATTAATTTTATTAAAATGCACTACTATCTAATAAATAAATTTTATTTCTAGCTAAACAAGATCATTTAATAGTTTAATAGTAAGTATAACTAGTTTGTAAAATTTAACTAATTTAAAATTAAATTCTTGATTAGAAAATTAGATTTTAGTAATCATCTAATGTGACTCCCATTTTAGCTCCCGTTCCCACAGCGACTCCGATCCCGTTCCCATCCACTCGGCCCTAACCCTCTCATCAATCAAATCGCTCTCATCTTTAGTCAACGTCTCTCTCCGACCGCTGGACACGCCTTTCCGGAAATGGGGGTCACCTTTGCTAAGGGAGGCCTTCATAGCCCCAAAAGTGGAGGTCTTAATAATCTGATCCAATAAAGTAGGCCGTCACCAACACTAGTACTACTGGCGCTGTCATCGCTGGGGTACCGGTCGAGCAGTCTGTCCACGTATTGCGGACCTAAAAGTAAGGCAATTTTCGCGATACTATCCCTCGGGTCCGCCAACATCTGCTCGTAGGTAATGACAGTACAGGCGCTGTCATACCGGTGCTCCCACTGAAGACGCACAGTTTCAAAGTAGTTGCCGAACGGTTCGGCATCATTTGATTGATGATAGGGTTAGGGCGGAGTGGATGGCACGGGATTGGAGACGCTGTGGGAACGGGAGATGAAATGGAAGTCCGATTAGAATTTTACTAAAATCTAATTTTCTAATCAAGAATTTAATTTAAAATTAATTACATTAATTACATTTTTATAACTAGCTATATTTATAATATTATATTTAAATGATAAAATTATGTTTGATTAGGTAATAGTGCACCTCAATAAAAATTAATTATAAAAAATTAACATTGATTATTTATCAAGTGAACTAAAGGTAATGGTTTAACAAAATAAGTTTATCATACATTACACTTTAAAATACAATTAGTTTTAGTTTAATTTTTTTATACTAAAAATAGATCAATATTAGAAAAATTAGAAATATTCCAATAATGTACAAATTAATTTAAGTGAGATTATTTTTTAAATTAACTTTCATATAACCGAATTTGATAATTTTAAAACTTGTTTCATTTAAATAAATTACCACTTAAAAAATTATTGATATTGATAAATTTAAAACATTCTATACTGAACTACAACGTTAGTTACAATATAAGGAATAGTATTGAATAATTATGCTAATTTTTTAAATTTGCGATTAAATTTATTAAATGCTAAGTGTTAAGTCAAAAATACCCAGTAGTTCACAAGGTATACAAACTCCTAAGGCTAAACTAATGCATTAATATTGTGTTAAACTTGAATCTTGATTAAATATACAGTATCTAGGCCAATAAATAAGACAATGGCCGCGATGCGATAAATACGAGGGTTAGACATATTGTTTGCCGCCGTCGACCACGAAGTTGGATCCGGTCACAAACGACGAGTCATCGGACGTCAAATACAACACGGCTTTTGTCACATCCATGTTCAGGCAAAGTATTTTAGTACCAAGCAACTTAACATAAGGGAGCGCATACTTGACAACGTTGGCTCGGATGCCTTTGGGGCCCAACTCGAGCGCTACGCACTTTGTGAACATATCCAGCGCCGCCTTTGACATTGAATACAATAGTCCACTCTATTCACAAATTATAATTAATTTTTGAGATTTGATTTAATAATATTAATATTTTAATAAATGGTAAATCATTGAGGGCTCATTCAATAAGTACGTACGCACTGAGTGGGGTAGGAGGTCAGCCAGAGCATGCGTACACAATGTTAAAGTCATATGTAGAGGGGATTAAGTAAGGGAGGTCAATTTTGAGACAAATTTTTGCGTAGCTACTTATTGAATGGCCCCTAAGTGTACATGGAAAATGAACGTAAAAACTGAAAATGCTAGTTCAATTGCTCGAATGGAAATATTTTGGAAGATTTTGATATGAGTACATTCTTTGCGAATGACTATGCATATAAAAAAATAGCAAATAAAGCAAATGTTTTATAAATTATTACCGGTTTAAAGGCCCCAATGCTCGACATGTTAACGATATTACCCTTAGTTTTCTCCAAATGCTCGACACATAAGTGAGTCAACCGTACGACTGACCGGAGGTTTGTGTTCATAATGGGCTCATACTTATCGAGGATATCCCCGTCCCATATGCTCGACACTAAATATAGACCGGCGTTGTTGACCAAAATGTCCAACTTTTTGAACGTCTTAATAGTGTCGGAGACTAATCGGCGACAGTCGTCTTCGTTGGTGACATCGGCCACCACTACCAGGGCTTTAGCACCGGTAGGCGACGCCTCAGCGCACTGTTTGGCCACAGCAAACACCTTATCCTTCCTGCGACCGGTGACCACCACTTGAGCCCCGAGTCGAGCGAACTCTACGGCAGTTTGGGCACCGATGCCACTGCTCGAGCCGGTGATGAGCACTACTTTTGCCGTGAAATCTCTGGAAGTCGCCATCATTTTAGTCTAAAGTAAATATGTTTCTTATGATGATATTGAGTTTTGTGTTAAATAATGAAATGATTTTATAAATTTATTCCAGCACAAACAATATTTTCTATATAATTCTGTATTATTTTACAACAACCTATTTCAAAGTAATAAGCAATGATTTTTATTTTATTTAAAAAGCTTGATTATTAGCACTTTTAATCGAGGTTATATTTTGCAATATTCAGTGTAGCTTTCATACGACCGTTGTTTCTATGGAAAATGTTTTTAGTTTAATTCTACCAAGATTAATTGTGATTTAATATAAAATGAATTTAATTTTAAGATTTAATTAATATATAAGGTCGTTCACGTGAATATAATTCTGGCAAAACTTTAATAAGTTTTTGTTATGAGTCTTAGTCAAAATCGGTAAAAAGTATTTTATACGTCTATTTAATTCAATTCTTATCCAATTAATTAAAATTTATTAATAATCATTTATCTAAAAATTTTGAAATTAAGTTAAATATAGTTTTAATAATTAAATAACTATTAAACATTGTATTCTCAGCGAGCATTGCAAGTAAGCAAACTTTACCAAGATAAGTGCTTTTACGGTGAATTGATTAATATAGGCATAAAGTATAAGTATATATATTCACAAAAATTTATTTAAAGGTCCGCTTTGCTATTCTGTATAAAATTATGTGATCATGTTTCAATTATCTTATTTCATAGGTTTTTTAATACACATACTTACTGAATGACCCTTTTAAATAAATATTGTATAAAATAATATAATAATTTATGAATAGAGAGGGCTATTGTATTCAATGTGAAAGGCGGCGCTGGATATGTTCACAAAGTGTGTAGCGCTCGAGTTGGGCCCCAAAGGCATCCGGGCTAACGTTGTCAAGTATGTGCTTGCTTATATTTAATTTGATAATATTAAAAGGATCCAACTTCGTGGTCGATGGCGGCGCCCAATATGTCTAACCCTCATGTTTATCACATTATTCAATAACGATTATTGTTATGTTTTTTAGTGGCTTAGATATTACATATTTAATCAAGATTATTATTTAAGACGTTTTTACCGTATTCCCGCACATCCACCGGCATGCCGATATAAAGTGAGGTTGATGAGACTGCCGTTATACCCCGGGGTATACCGGCATGCCGTTTTAAGTAAGGTCTAAAACATGTTTTGAAATTTAAAT